AATCAATCAATCAATCAATCAATATATATATATATATATATATGTATATTTGTACAACATCTGATGAGTTCTTAAATTGTTCTTAGATTTTAAAGGCATTCCTTGACAAGAAAGACAGCTTGTATTCTCTTCATCAAATAGGTATCCCATTTTTTTGTCTGTCTTTGTGTAAATCATAACATGTTTTTTTTTTCCATTCTTTTAATATCTAAAAATTCCTTTTATATTGAGCCCTAATGTGCTAGTAAATAATAATATACTTATCAATAAATAAACTATTTAATAGCTATTGAAAACAATGTCAATTATTTATGTGTTATTTTTTGGTTGTCAGCCCAAATGGGAGTATCGGAAGGCAAGCCAGTTGGAAGCTGGTTTGGACCTAACACTGTTGTACAAGTTTTAAAGTAAGATACAAAAAGGAATTATAACATGACTTTAGTTGAAGTATTGGATGTTTTTTCTCTAGGAAACTTAGTGGTCATTAGAGACATACAGTAAGCATGGACAAGCATCTAAGACAGTGACACTATGAAGATGTAACCATGTTTTAAAAATGGTCTTTCATGTGCGCAGACCACCATCCTCTGCATTGCCGTTCTCTCTAGAACATGAATAAAGAATCAACTGAGTTTCTAGAGAGAGCAGTAATTCCAAACATTGAGCGGCAAAAGCTATTTTCTTGAAGAAAGGCTGTTGTACAAGGCTAAAATCTTGTTATTCAGAGTGTTTGACTTGTTTGGAAGTGGAGATGACCGATGAAAGTGGAATTAAAGTGTTAACCCAAAGCATAAATTTTATTCGAAAATGAGTAGGCCTTCATTTGATTATTTCCCATACATTTTCTATAAAAAAGCCTGGCAAAGCAAAATTCTAAAACAAATGCAACAAATCATCTTTGTACAATTGAAACAGGCATCTTATCATCTAGTTCATCAGTTTCTGACTGTTTAAAAAAGGTTTTGAGTGTTAACCCAAAATGAAAATTGGAATCAAAACTCATATGAAAGTCTAGTTTTTGGCACTTTTTGCCATTATTGCTCATTATTTAAAAAAATTTCCTCATTAAAAACTTTTATAAAAGCAAGCTTACATTATTGTTTGGCACTGTCCATGATGTTTGGTGTTAGTCCATGCTAAGGTCCCTATTGTTTTGGAGGGATGGGCTTGCTGTGGGTAGGAAGTTGGTGTGAGTCCCTACTTTTCATGCAAAAAAAAGTATAGCTAACGTATGTTCAGTCAAGCAATATATGTCAAAATTTGTAATATTTCTTGGTCTCTAATTTGTATTAATGATCAATATCTTGTGGTTTACAGGAAACTGTCATCATTTGATGACTGGAGCTCATTATGTGTGCATGTAGCAATGGACAATACCATTATCGTTGAGGACATAAGTAAGTCTTAGTATACCCTCAGTAGAGTCTGCCCTTCATATTTTATATTAGGTCACTCCACAAGACCTGGGTATCAAAGACTGAAGGAGCCTCTATTCAGACCTATGAATGCCATAGAAAAATTTGTATTAATTTGCAATAATTTTTGAAAACAAGGGTCTGAGAGCCCTTTCCCTAGCACTTCCTGTCATTGTGTCTGTGCTTCAAACCTTGACATTTTGTTCTTTTTCACAGAAATATTATGTAAGCAAGACGTACCAAGGAAATCCTGTGGTGAGTCAACATGCTATGACTGCACAGATTCCACATATAGCGAAGAGCCCATAAGAAGAAGAGGAGCATCAAATAAGAGCCCAAAGAAAACAAGTAAACCCCCAACACACAGCTGCAAGAATACATGGCGACCACTGGTGCTGTTTGTGCCTCTACGATTAGGATTGTCAGAAATGAACCCAGTCTATAATGATTCTTTAAAGGTTAGACTGAATTTATTATTAAATTTATTATTGATATAAATATGTATTTAAGGCAAATGGGCAAGGGAATTACTTTCAGGAATGGAAGTGAATAGGCATTTTGCATTTTAGGCTATGTGTTTTTATATTAGCTATTCAGAGGTGGAAGAAAAAGCTGGGTGGAGTACAAATAATGCATTGTGGGACTGTTTTAGGGGACATTTTTCAAAGATAGTGTCTATTTTCCCCCCTAAAAAGTCCCACAATGCACTATTAGTACTCAGTCATTGAAGAAAAACAGGTTGAATTGGCATCACAGTGCATTGTGGGCCTGTCATAGGGGACATACTTCACAGGTGTAGCAGTAGTGCACCTCTCACCTTTATCTTTGGAGTCTTGGATTCAATTCCTGGACTCAGCATTGCATAGAGTAGAGGGTTGATTTAAGATGTTTTCTCTGGATTCTACACAGATGTGAAGGGGTCATATACCAACAGTTGTATTTATTTTCTGCTTGAACTCTTTTGCTTCAGCATTCTTATTATTTTGACCAATTACAAGCTAGATTGTTTTCCCTCAAAAATAATTTATGAGTCAATTTGTCCAGGAAAACACCCATCAACCTTAACCTTTTATTGATTTACTGTACCATTATTCAGCTGTGTTTCATATTATTACCAGGCATGTTTCACATTAAGACAATCTATTGGAGTAATAGGAGGAAAACCAAACCATGCTACATATTTTATAGGATATTATGGTAGGCATTGTCTGTTATTGTTCTTATACACCTGTATCACTATAGACCTTTAGATCTGATGACAGGTACAAGAACGAGTATGAGTACAAGTTTTTAACTTTTAAAGATTGGCACTATTATAATTTCTTAGTCCTGGTCATGTATATAATTGAAACTTTAGATTGTGAAAAATCAAAAAATTCACTTTGATTCAGTGCTAATCATTCTTGTACTCATCATCGGATCTAAAGGTCACTAAATAACCACAGAGCACCCTAAAAAGTAAGGAGGGCTTTGATTGGAAGATCCTGAGTAGATTATTCATTTGGCTAAAAAATGTGTGTGTGTGCCAAATTTATTGGATGTTAGCAAAATGTGGGGGAGAGGGAAAAGCCTAGAGCCTCTCATGCCCAGTCCCTCTTTTTCTTCTGTTACTGATCACACACATTGCTTTCCAAGTGAATCAAGAAAATACTGTCCAATACATGCTCAGGGACTGACTTAATGATGAAGGATTTCTAGGCCTGTCCTATTTCTAGAGTTAATGTTAACATGTTCATGATGCCTAATTACTGATTGGCCACTATTTTGAGCACAGATCTCTCTTGCAATCATGATCAATTTGATCTGTTTTATTTTCACAGGTAATAACTTGTTGTACTTAGATCCTCATACAACTCAACAAACAGTTAATCCAGAGCAAATGAGCCAAATTCCTGATGGGGTATGTAGTATTTATTTAATATGCCACATATGTCATATATGTCAGTCTATGAGAGGTGCCTCCCCGCTAACTCACACACCCTCTCTGTTGTGCATCCCTTTCGAATCTGTTTGGAATTCTGAGTTAGCAAATGAGCCAAATTCCAGATGGGGTTTGTGGTACAGTGGAACCTCTATATAGGGACGTTGAAGGGCTAGAAAAAGTGTCTGTAATATAGAGGTGACCACAATATAGAGGTGATCTTAATAGAGTGATCGGCTTCATGAATCCAAGGGTGTATGGTGATTTTGTCAGGACCTAAATATCTGTCCGTAATATAGAGGTGTCCTTAAAGAGAGGTTCCACTGTATTTACAATGAATTAAATGCTATGAATCAGTTCATAGTTGTGTGAGAGATCAGCCAACACACAAACAGACCTTCTTTAATTTTCTCATGCTCCCATTTTGCATCTCTGAAATTTAAAGAATTCTATTCAGTTTGATAACTTTGTAACCTCAATTTGTTTTAGACATATCACTGTGTTTATCCGTGTAGAATGGCTATCAATGAAGTAGATCCTTCTGTTGCTGTGGTAAGGATTTTTGTATATTATCTATATCTAGACCTTTTCCAGTACTACTTCTTAATCCTCTTAAAATTAGAGGGAGAAAATGACAACCGCAAAAACGATAAACCCTATGCACACACAACTGTCCTCTGGAAATGAAGGTTATGAATGCCATTCATTACCCTTCCATCTTTAAAAAATACATATTTACCAAGAAGATCATATAAATATATTGAAAAGGAGAATGTTTTAATTGAAACTAACTCTTATTTCGTCAAGACAGTAAAAATATATTGTAGTATCCTTTAAATTGAAATGTTTATTTTAACGATACTGACCAAAAGATGTCTATTCTAGGGGTTTTTCTGCAAAAATGAAGAAGATTTTGATGATTTATGCCTACAATTTCAAAAGGTAAAATTTCGATTCAACGAGAGATTGTTGAATGTTTTCTTAAACCACTCAATAAGATAGGGGTGTGAATAAGGGTACCCAATTGCTAGTTAACTACTATTTTTTAGGCCAATTGTCTGTTAACTGTTAAACCCCACGTCCTCAGACAAGAACGAGTGTAGATAAGAACGAGTGTAGGTAGCAATGAGTGTAGATAAGAACGAGTGTAGGTAGCAATGAGTGTGTCTATGTAGTTATTCTCGTACCCAAACCCTTATGAGCTTTCTAACTAAAAATCGATTTTGCTGAGAAGGGTTTGTACGAAACCTAGGATGAGCAAAAGATATGTGATTCTGCATTTATATAGGCCTTACCATTTAATAGATGGACCGCACAACCTTGATTTACAATTTTCTCAATGCGTCGGAAATTTTTTGTGTTTCACTTTCATGCCACGAGTGTGAGCCGCGCGTAGCAGCGAAATAACCAACACCACTACGAAACGCAAAATATCGTATAAAACTACTTTGAAACTTAAACTGAATATTTGACTACTTTGAAACCTTCAAAGATTTATTTAAGATCCTAGCTTTCGGACTACTTCAAACTGTTTGGAAGATGCGTTTGAGAAAGAAAAATGTCGACCAGGGCTACAGAACTCTGACCATTTTATCATATAGTTAAAAATAGAACTATGGTTCAATAAACCATTCTATTTTTATCAAGGCCATATGGAACAAAGTGCTAATAACAAGGAAATTTGAACATCGTGTAAAACAGCTTAGAATGCTGACGTCTCGTCGCTAAACGGACGAAAGAGTAACGTCCTAACATTGGCAGGTACAGTTCTAATCGTTTTTGCATGAAGTTTAGTTTCCTTTGTGTTGACACTGACCAACGCAGTCAACAAGTAACCGCTGTATTCACATTGATCGTTCACACTAACAAGTAACCGCTAGTCATACTATTGCTTTACCATATGCGGATGTGTTTGATTTGATTTCACAGACTATCATTAATGGCAAGAAAAGACCCATGTTTGAGCTAGCCGTAGAGAGACCACCCCACTGGCCTGTCCTTGAGATTCATCCTCGACCATCAGAAGACCTCAACACCAGCTGTCAGTCAGGTAAAGTGGTTTATGGTAATACTAGATAACCCTGGACTGAGTTCAAATGCCTTGCGCTGATAACTGGCATGTCGTTGTCAAGAGTAATGAATACATCGTTTTGATGAGAGATGTTACTGAAATATGACAAGTGATCTTCATTCTGGCACACAATGCATTGCGCGCTTAGATTCGGTATTCTGTTGGGTGCGCGTGACGTCATAGCCGCCATGCCGCCATATTGGCTGACTCTAAACATTTGGCCATGTCTTTTGTCCTTTCATTCCTAAGAAAAAGGATGCACACCAACTCTTACCTGGAATCGGGTACCCTTTGTGGAAAAATAATGACGCTTAAGCTTCCGAAATTCCACATTATAAGTGGATGATTTGTATATACTTGGTATCCATGAAATCCATTTGAGAGCCATGTACCATCTCCCCCTTCCTGTCAACCAATATGTATCCATCAGTGTCCCGTTCGACATGTTGCAAGGTTTGTTTCTGGGTTGCAGTATTTTAAATCTCATAGATCTGCACTTGAGTCCGTACGTCCACGACACATCAATATTTATGACTCTCTCTCTCTCCTTGCAGACTTCACAGTACTAACATACGAAGAAGAACGAAAGTACGACACGGATGAAGAATACGAGATCCTTTGAGCCTCAAATACGCCGGACCGATTAGCATTCAAAATTACTTAGACATAAAAGGTAATTAAGGTAAATGGCGGGTTGACGGGGGTGGAGTTCATGTGCTCCTAAAATGAAGCTTTTGAAGTTAAAATGAAGCTCCACCCTTGAAGCTGAATTACTCCCTGATTAAGATTAATGGAGAAGTGAGTTAATTAAGTAATAAAGAATTATCGAGTTTTAAAGAGATTAATAACAGCAGCATATATGGCCTTACACGTGATATACGAAAGGTCTTGCCTGCCTTACCTATTTTCCCGGCATTTCACACCTCTGGGGCCCACTAAGGTTCTTAGTTTATCCAAATAAGTGCGCCCTCTCGAACACCAAATATCAGTAAGAGAAATAATACTCAAGGGAATGAATGGAAAAATAACCCGCATCGCAAAGGTAGGGTAGAAGACAAACCGAAAATCTCCATTAAAGGCACCTGGTCATCAAGCAATTGTTTTTCGTTTATTTTAGTATATTATTGCTGCTGCTTAAAAGAAAAAAGAAAATTGCGCATTGTTGTAAATTTTTCCAATGTATATAATATTTTATCAGTCATTGAAATAAAATAAATATACACGTACGTATACGAGGATGTGCTCCCACAAGTGCGTCATATATGACGTCACGTTACGTCATCTGATACGTCATTCAATATTTTTACACAGCTATTTGAAAACAGGCTGTCGAAGGTTTTGTTGCATGTTCCATACCAAGCCCGAAATGCACTATGGTGATGTGAATGCAATAAGCTAATGGTCACAACGATAAGGAATTTTCTTAATTAAATTCGTCTACACGTTTTTCCGGCATAATTTTATTTGTGACCACATTATTTAGATTATGGTACATTACTCTCGAAAATGAATATAATATTTTAAGCTTGGTAAGCAGCATGCACCGTGCAATATGCAGCAATGCAACATCGATCAAATGCAACTATAAGCAAAACCTTCGCCAACCTTTTTTTCAATACTTGTATGTAATTAGAAATCTAACGTAGTTGACCAAAAATTGCGAGTTAACATCACTACTGATTTTGCAGTCGTTGTTGGGGTAAGTCGATTTCAAAACAGGTCGAGTGTCTGCAAAACAGGATAGAGAGTCGATGGGCTAAAGTTCCGGTCACGTGATAAGTCATGTGAATGTCAGGGTAGAACAAGTCCTGACCTCACATGAAGTTCAGAAAATATTTTACGCATTTATAATTGTTTCTCGACGCATAATTTTTCTTGAGCCTCTGTTTGCTGTACTTTGGTTTTAAAGTATTCTGGCTGCTTATTTGAAATATGCAGTTTATCACATGAAGGATTGCGTCTCTTTTTTCCTAAGAAATGATATTCATAGTCAGAACTTATTATTCAACGAAATCTCAATTTTAGAATTGAAAAGAAAGTAACCCTTGCGTTTCAAAACATCCGGCGTTAGTCGTACGTTCTTGCTCTATTTTTTTGAAAAAATTAAAAATTACATAGTTTTGGCATTGGTAATTTCGATGGATCATTCGAAGGCAAGCGCGTTACGTCACTCGTAAAAAAATCTAATCACACCTTAGAACAACTTGTAGAACTACCAAGAAAACGATGAACTAATCTATCTTGATCTCCTATAATCTACTGCTCTGTCAAGAACGCACTTAAAACCCCTGATAAACTTTGCTCTCCTTAAAGACTCTCTCGCGCAAATACGATTGTACAAGATCCACATTTGTAAGAGAGAAATGCTTTATTGGATTCATCAGTCTTAAGCTGGGATCATTATATTACGACACGTTCCAAAGTCCGAGTTATGAGAAACAATATTATCATTGATGTTGAATATACAAGGATTGGAATAGGAATGTTTATGGATCTGTGGTTAATCGGTTTGCAAGCGCCTAAAGAAAGCGAGAACTAGTTTCCCAGAGTGGTCATTAACTGCGTCGCCGCTTTTAAGTGAATAATATTAGAATTAATTTTTTCCGGTGTCTGTCTAAAGTGACCATTGACATTAGCTCATCATGGCAATATTTTTATGGCGGAATTAAGGGAAGATTCCACTGAGTTCAGATTAATATGAAAATCTACATTTGTTCGGATGCTTAAAATGAAAATCATAGTCAATAATTATTTGAATTCATTACTAAAAATTATACAAACACTTCTGTATCAATGAGAACTCTTTTCCTCCTTAACTACCGACGATACACACGTCGTTTTGTGATGAGGTGCAGCTTTAGAAACTTTTGATAACCAATCATAGACTCTTGATTGTCTAACACTGTTTGTATCAACCTCTCCTGCTGGTAGTATTGAAGTATTATTATTATTATCGTCCACGTTTGGTTCCTGATTACTCTTACTGTGGGCTTTTAGGTGCTTTCGAAGCGAGCTTGGATGAGTATAGCTCTTCTCACAGCCATTCACGCGGCAAATGTAAGGCTTGTCTGAAGTATGTACATGCGAGTGTTTTTTCCTGTCGCTGGAGTTGGCGAATCGTCTGTTGCACCCTTCGTATTCACAAACAAAAGGCTTTTCCCCAGTATGGGTGCGTTTGTGTATCTTCAGATTCTCTGATCGTGCGAATAGTTTGCCGCATCCCGGGAATGGACACGGAAAGGGCTTTTCTCCTGTATGAACGCGAATATGGTTGATAAGTTTGTATTTCGCTTTAAATGGTTTCCCTTCACGATCGCAGTTCATCCACGAACAAATATGCTTTGCGCTATCACTGCTGCTCACGTGGTCGATGGAGATGTGTTTGACGAGATCCATCATGTTAGAGAAGACCTGACTGCAGCACTCACTTCCCTTGTCGCTACCACCGACCCATTTACAACTGTGTTCCTGTTTGACTTGAGGAGGCCGCATGAAGCGAAAGAAAGCACCACTGGCTGATAAATCCACAGTTGGTGACGACCCATGTGAGATAGGTAGAATATCAGGCCTATCCTGGCTCCCTTTACTTGGAGGCGTTGCAGCTTTCTGATCTTCTACGCCGGCGTTGTGATTAACATGTCCCGTTCGATGACTTGACGATTCTCCAACAGCTTGACTCTGAGCGGTCTCACCTGAGTTAACGACGACCAAGGGTGCTGATATTCGATCAGTTGGCTCGGAGACATTTGAAAACAAGACCGTATTGGAATGAGGATTATTTGGGCACAGCGTGCGTGAGACGCCAGCCAACGACGCGGAAGAACTTGAAGTGACAGAATGCAAATTCCCATTGATATGCTGAAAACTTCCAGTAGTCCTGCAGGGGAAAGAAGAAGACACCTCCGAGTGAAGTAGCGGTTGTGGGGCTGATAACGGCATGCCACAGTGATCTCTGCGGAGCAGGAAATCTCGGGCTGTGAATAACGGAGCACTTGATGTAGAGACGACGCATGGATAATTTGACGGCAGGTTGTAAACCCCTTGAGGAGCCAAGGTACTTGATCCAGAATACTGGTCCACTAGATCATTTTGATTTGGTCGCAGTCCTGGAATATGGTGTGGTTGTGGTGTTGGTACGTCTGCGAATGCGAAGGCAGCGTAATTTCCCTCTGGTGTCCATTCACTCATATCTGCTCCTATTATAGACCCTCTGGGTAGAGTGAACGGAGGATATCCAGCGTTATGTGACGGAAAATAATCATATATACTAGTCATAGTTTTGCGGATTGTCGAAGGCGATGCATCCATGTGAAACATGTGATGGTCTACTAACTAACTGAGATTTTATTGCCTCGAACCGTGCGCTATCTGTTCTTGTTTCGAGGCATACAGATGGGTGACAACTGCTCGTCATTGGCCAGGATTACATTTGATTGGCATCCGGGTAAACACTATATTCCAGAGGAAATACTTGGACCAATCACAGCCGTTACCAAAACTTTATTTTGATTTTCACGGACATCTGACGTTTGAGCGGAAAGACTTGAAAGGATGACCATTTAATGGATTTCACATTTGGCCATCGCCATTTACACCTTCCTTGCCGGAATTCGTCGATGTTTTCCCGAAGGCAAGTGTTGCTGTTATTCACTGGAACTGGTAGAATTTGTGGGAAATGTTTCGCGCGGGAACTCGCCTCTTAGAACATGCTGGGTTGTTTGGCTAATTTGTTTTTACTCGAGATAGGGGGTAAATTCGCGTTCTAGGTACTTGATGAAAGGTCACCGCATGATATCTGATGATAAGTAAAGAGATCGATAGCCTGAAGAAATCTGCCTGTCAAAAACTCGAGTTTGACCTTATTTTCTCACCCTGTCTATCTCTCGGACAGATACTTGAAAGATACTTAGGCAGTACCACCTTCAACGTCAAAATATCAACCTAAAAAATCCCTTAAAATGAAAAATTCCCGAACACTTTTTCAGTTTTTAATTCCCTAACAATGCCAAATTGAAAGATTTCTTGACACGATTGCGTTACGTAATTTCCGGTGAGATGCGATTTCCGGCTTTTGTTAGTTTCCATACGAAGGTGTATGAAGTGAAAATATTATGCCAGCTCATTGATGACCTGGTTGAGGATTAACAGACCTTAAAAAAACCCCGCTTCAATATATTAAATATGAGAAGAAAATCTTCTTGCTATATAGCCTAAAGGATTTTACCAAGTACTTATTAAGTTTACATTATTATTACTAAATCATGTTTAGCTGTAGGGAATATTTATTCTAGCACTTGTACCTCAAGAGGTTATGATCAGACACGTTACGCAATTAGACAACGCCTCTTCTTGACACTCAATTCTTCTCGAGTTTACCTTAAGATTTCTGGAACACCAGTGATGACACAAACTAATTTCTAAAAAAGAAAAATAAATCTCGAGCACTTCTTTTGGTTGTTACGTCTTCAGAGGATGTAATTTTAACCTTTCGATGCAAGTAACAAGGCCAAAAGACCCCCCGCGGTCGTGGCTTGTTATAGGAATGAAGTCATTTGAGAACGCGTTAGGTCACGTTGACAGGAAGCGCGGCTGTATCGGTCACTTTTATATTTGTTCTGGATTTTCAAAGATTACTGTCCCAAATGAATGACCTATGTTATTAAAAAAGAAATAAAAAAATAAAAAAAACTTGATAAAAACCATATTGATATTTGAGTGCTCAATATTTAGGTTTTTCTTGATTGGAAAATTGTTGGAAATTCTCCGCCTGATGTAATGTGCTTAGGCGAATACCTGGTAAATACCATAATAGCTGTTCAAATAAGCACAGGCATACAGACTTCAATGAGCTTAAACTGTCATTTTAAAACATTATTCAATCATGCACCAACTTATTATAAATCTGTTTTAAAGATATTATGTTAATTCATTTTCCTTGGTTGTCTAAAACAGACTTTATAAAGAGAAGTGTTTATTACTGGCCAGATTACATCAAGAAGTACATTTCAATTTTACCAGAAATTTTTTCCTGCTCTGTTTAGTCCTTTCCAACTCCTTGGCTTTTAAAGCACATATATTCTTCATTGTGGGAGGGGGAAATATGGCATGACCTGCTACTAGCTTCTTTTTTCAAGATTTTAAATTTGATGATTTTTCTTGAACCAAAATGAAAATCTCAAGTAGCTAGGGGATGTTGACCACTTGTGTGGAATCTGCTGTTTTAAAGTGTAGTAACATGACCTGACCTTGGTTAGTGTGGCCAAGGACATTACAGCTGTAGGTAGTCATGGTTACAGGCTTTTGATTATAAAAAGATCACATTTCAAACTGATTCTCTAAGTACTTGTACTGTCTCCACAAGAAGTAATAAAGGTTAGAAAGATAGAGGATGTTATCAGGGTAATCAGGGTGGTCCACTTGAGAGGATTTTCAGCTGTCTGTGTGTGATGATAGCTTTCCAGGTAAGCCACAAGTGTGAACCTCTAGCGGTCTTGATCATTCCCTCTATAGACAGTACATTTCATTCTAAGGGAAATGGGTTGGGGATAATTACCCTGGTAAATGGGTGAATGGATGCCAATGAGTGGCGGGGTATTCAGTCCAAAGTACCCTTCACAAAAGCATTATAAAAAAAATTATTGTAAACTCAAATCTCTTTTCATGCCCAAAACACATCTTGAAACAGCAGATTCACACATATTTCACATATTGTGTAGTTCCAGAAATTATCCATCCCCCCCTTCAGAGGAATTTGGAATTCTGAGGGATAGGGGGGGTTTGAGAAAGAACAAAATTACAGAGTTTGTATGAAAGAAAATTGGAATTTCTGGGGGTAGGGCCTGGAAAAATTTCCTCCTTAGGGGGCTATAGATAATTTCTGGAAGTATACATTCACATATGCCTCCCCTCTTACTATTAAAATATATTTGTTAGTGTGAGGAATATTCGTATGAAAGAAAACATACTTACTCAGATTCACTACTAACAACTGTTTTTTTAGAAACCTTTTTTTATTGGAAAATAGGGCAAACAAGCAGTTCAGTACCTTGCCATACTCTAACTCCAGTATTGCCTGATTTCAATGAAACAGTGGTAATATTTTTTCTGAACTGAAATATGCCAGTCATTTGCATCAAGTTAAAGAAGTAAAACATTCTAAATATGGTATGTAAATAACACCAAATGTTTTGCTAATCAAGCCCAGAGTGAAGTCCTGTTCTAATCAAACACAGTTGATTTTCTAATCTCAAGCTTATGTTAAATGGCCTTAAGCTTTGATGCAGTTTTACTTCAAAACAGATTTATCAAATCAACCCTTTTTGATGATTTTTCAATCTGTTTCCAAAATTACTTAATTTTAGGATTTGTATGGGAAAATGTAGCCCAAGGTAAAATCTCATAGTTCAGTACATTTTACCCATAGCATTATGAAGAATACATCATTTTCCAGTCCATAGAAAACAGCTGTGCTCTTCAATTACAGATGAATTTATTTAGATTTACAAATGCCACAACTAAACTAAAAAATGTACAACTTCAACAATACAATCAATTTGAAATTGCCCTATTTCACTATGATGTCACATCAAAACAATCTATTGTTTAAACACAAAGGATCATGGTCGTCGGAGGGGATCAAATCAATGCAAATTAATTCAAATTCGAAAATTATTCTAAAACCCTTATCAATCCAAGAAGAGAAGTAGAATAGCCAGCAAATGCTCAGAATATTGTTTAGTGCATAATAGCACATATTATATCTGAAAACCAGGCCATTTTAGATTAAACTGTTTCTCTAGGAGCAAATTTTATTGAATTTTCTATTGGATTTGGCAATTCTATCCCCCACATAAACAAGCAGTGACGTCATAGTGAAAGAGGGCAATTGCAGACCTTTATTGGAGTAAGGGAATATTTCACACAAAGTTGAGGTCAACCCAACATTTAATTCAAAACTGGAGTATAGAATGTTACAATTAATGATGTACAGAATGTTACAAATAGGTTCATGTATTTTTACAAGCATTAGGGGCATAGCCAGGATTTTCTGAAGGGTGGAAGGTGAGGGAAATTCAAAAATCTCCCATTTCGTTTAAGCCCCCCAAAAGACTGAACCCTCTCCCCTAAAAACACATTAAAGCCTGTATTGCGTTTTCCATTTTAGTTTTACAGAAATGAAAATAAGAGAAATTGAAAAATACCAGGTAAATTGTAAAAAGTTGCCATTTAGTTGCCTGGAAGGGGGAGCCCTTGCCCCCTCGTCTCCCTTGCCTACACTCCTGAACTTTCATTTTAATTCACTTGAGTTTAGTAAATTAATGTTATTGCTGTAACAGTAGAGTGCTATCAATCTACCCACAGTTTGTGGATCGGTTCACGCTTGTCTGTTACTCTTTCTTGCACCTTTAATACAGCTTGTTTAATGTCCTCATGTATCTCTTCTATACTTTTAGATGCATCTATAACCTGCAAAATTTGAAACGAATTTTGTATAAGATTATACACATACTATAGTGTATGACTTTATTTGATTGCCTATGAATTAACATCAATGCTCCTGAAGGACAATTCCAATCTTTTCCAAAATTAAATGCCTTAAAATAGACAAAACTGAATGTTGCTGTGTCTATCAACTATGTTAACTTGCAATGCAATAGTCCTATTCAGAATTGCCAATCAGGATTTAATATTCATTTTTACCCATTATACATTTATTTTAAACATTTTTCATATGATAGACATTGCAACTTGTTGCTGCAAACAAATATCTGAAATTGTTTTGATAGCAGAAGAAAAACTGCATCATGTATCACAGATTTATACCTGCATATATTACTTTATTCACTAGCAAGTCTCACCTTCCAGTCACTGGCCTTCAGTTCCAGGTATCTTGCAGAAACTTTGTTTTGGAAGTCATTGTTTTCATATCTTTCTTGTCCATAATCTGACCTTTCAGAGGTCTTAATTGAGGACACATCCAAGTATATGACCAGGTCAGGAGATGGTAGCCCTCTGTCTGGATTCTTACACCATTCAAGTGTAAATCCCTGGCAAATTAAATGAATTATTTATATCAAAGTGCACTTTACAAACTTACTGATTAGAAAAATAGCACGCTCCCTAATCACTGTCAGCTCTTCTAAACTTTCACAAACATGAATTATAGCTTACCTCCTTTGCTGCAGTGAAAGCCACACCAGAGTATGCATACCTATCTGTTACGATGGTTGTTCCATTATTAAGCAGATTCTTAATAGTGGGTCTGAAGCACAAAAAGACAATTATATTAATTCAAAATCAGCTCTTGCATTATTTCAACATTTGGGATGGGATACAGTCCCTTATGAAAACCACCTACTGGTAATAAGGCTTTCCTCTTTGAATAACTTATTTATCACTAGAGAATATATTTTAACTGAGATCCTACCGTAAGCCTTTTCTGAGCTTGATAAACAGGGTGCATTGTGGTCTAGCTTGGGTACAATCAAAATATAAGGAATGATGAACAAAAGATGTTTGTACAAAAGCTAGAACACAATGCACCATGTTCATTATCTCAGAAAAGCTCATGAARTAAATATCGAGTCAAATGGATCGGAGGGATCAGCATCAATCTAGACTGCACCAGCAAGTGATTGATCAGCAAGGACATATACACCCCAGTATTATGTGTAAAGTAAAGCCTATGCAAAGAAGGGGGAGAAACGAGGGATTGAGGGATAGAAAGTTTGGGCTGTGTCAGGGAAGGGGTAGATATCTACAGAGGCACTCTCCCTCTGCATGCATACATGTAAGCTGAGCTATTCAAAGCATACAAAACATGTACCCATGTGCCTTTCAGAGTTGCAGCACTATATAAGTTCTACAAGGCATATGTATTGTACCCAAGCTAGACCAGAATGTACCCTGCATATTACGTGAGAAACCCAGACGTCTGCGGCTACGAAAATGGGGGGTACTACTCACACAGCTTCCCATCTGTTAGCAGAGAACAACAAGTGGATGGCATGATCATCAAGATCCGTCTTGTTCGTAAGGTATGAATCTATACATTTACCAATCGCCGTACTGCGATCTGAAATGTAAGAAAACGTATTAACAGAGATTATTGTATTTGCTGTATGTGAAAACGTATTCTAAATAGCTTTCACCCTTACCTGGAAAACGCATCTGTTCTACTGAACTTCCCAAGGATCTTATATAATCGACTAGAAGCTTGGATTGGGTCGATTTTCCTGCTCGATCGCAGCCTTCCAGGCAAATGAAAGCACCTCTACATGTATGAACCATTCTATAATATTCTATAAGTTAGGAATAAACTAGTATATGGTATAGTACAAATGACTTCAAAATTGGCGCCAAAATCTGAAAATTTACCTAATAAAGGATGTCGTCATACTCGTCATACTCGTTACCAGACTCTATTCAACGATACAAAGAACATTGGTTATGGTGATCGTTACAAAAGGCTAGTATTTTACTCTCATTCTTTCTCCACCTAACGTAAATACCGATTTGGAAAGTATTTTTGAGGATTTCTTAATATCATAAATTTCGCTCCAAAATGGCCGTCTCGATCGTAGCTGGGCAGTCTGCAAATGTTCTCCGAAATAGGATTGGTTACTAGACTGGTTATAAGCCAGGGAGAACCACAGGTAGCCCAAGTATGGGGATCAAGATGGTGGGGTAAAAATCTTAAAACGGGCAAAATTCAAAAAATAACCACACAGAGCGAAAGAAGTGCTATTTCTCAATGATCGGGTAAAATTTCGTGGCTTTATTTCACGTTTATAAACCAAGCTTGGGCTACCTGTGGGGAGGGGAAGTTGGGGGTAAAAAGGGTCAAGACTAATGAGATTTTCTACCGCTTTTTGATAATTATTCCATTAAATTTATTTACTATCAAGCATTCTCTTTTGGGGCATTGAAATTCGAGGAATGTCAAATAGTTTTCATGTCTATAATAATGGGAGACTTGATATGCCCATGTCGGGTGTCCCCCC